CCTCCTTGGAACAGGAGGGGGTGTGTAAGGAACTGGCTGACCACTGTGAGATCAGAGCTCTGTGTCCCATGCTCCTGCAAGGGATGTTGATGATTTGGACAAAGGAATAGAGCAGGAGCAGGGTGTCCCTGATGCCCAGTGCTTTTCGGGAAAATGTATGATTTGCTACAGAGGGTCTTCCTGGGAGAGTGTTTCTCTAGCAAAGTAACAAGTCTGGCCTCCAGTTTGAGGCAGTGCTCAGTTACTGGGTCAGTCTACATCCTGAGAATAGCTTGAGCAGCCTTGCTCTTTTTTTGCGGAGCTGGAGAGCGGTGTTACTGCTTTTATAGGAAATTAATGTCATCTGTGCAGGCAATTGACAATCTGTCAGAGCGCTTAAGTAGCAAAGTAGGCTGCTGCACTAGCTGGAAGTGAGGTGAAGATCAAAGGGTTAATCTTGCTGTAGTTCCCAGTTTGCTTCAAGTTGAACACTGTGGAGGAAATCACAGACGCTTGTTTAAATATTAAAGGGCAGTTGTGTCTTCAAACATAAACCACTGGTGCGATGCTGTCCACGAGGTGGCTGAACGTGCGTTCTGGAGAGGCAGCAGCCTTTTCTTAATCGACTGTGAAGCCATTTATTAAACCGGTCAGAAGATTACTCAAAGGGAGGTTTTCAGCCCAGGCTGTAGTGGTTCAGCAAGTTAGATGTCTCTGCTACTGAACTGGAATTCCTGCTGCAGTAAGAGTGTCTCTTGACACCTGAGTGTGTTCCCAGTCTTGGAGCTACGTGTCCATAGCGTGTGACCACAAACCTTTCTGAGGTAAATTCAGTGTAATTTTTCTTGTATTCTGTTCCAGTTCAGCCATCTTCATGCCTTGGTCAGCTCTGGAGAGCTCATCTGGTTTTAAACCTGCAGGGAAAGGGAATTGCTTATTTGGGATTTCCCCAAGATGTTGAGGGAGATAAGGTGACAATTTCAAAGGCCTTTCAAATTTAAGACTCTTCCTTCTGGCAGCAGCCTCTGCTCAGTGCTTGATATTGAAGCTTGTGATGTGTCAGGATTCTCAGAGCTCCCTCAGGAATGGGTGGGAGACAAAGGTTGCTTATAAAAACTACCCAAAAAGGATTCCGAGAGCAGCCTGTCCAGTAGACTGCCTGCTAGACCGTGTGATGGTGCAGCATGTGGTGGAAAGCCACCACCTTGAGCAGTTTGCCTGCCCTGCCCTTGATCGGTGCCCTTGTGTGGTGCCTTGTGTGGCACCGCGCTGCCCTCAGCGTTCCTGATCTGCCTCCCATTTATCCTCCATCAAAGCAGCCTGTTGCTGTTCGTGCCGCAGGGGCAGGGTGGTCGGAGCTCCTCTGCTCCGAGGCTGCTGCAGCCCCTGATCCCTCTTTGTGCCTTTGCTCCCCGCACAGCAAGCAGCACGAGAGCGAGGAGGGCGAGAGCCACCGGCGTCACAAGCACAAAAAGAACAAGCGGAGCAAAGAGGAGAAGGAGGCCAGCGAAGACGGCGCCCAGGAGGGAGAGGAACAGGATGCCAAGGAGTAACGCAGCCCTCGGCAGGGACTCGCTCCTTTCAAACCAGCGTGGCATTGGTGACGTTTTGGGTTGGGTTTTGCCATTTTTTTTTCCTCTTTTCCAAAAAAGGCTGACTTTGCCCAAGCAGTGAAGGATGTCGCAGTGGTTGGAGAGTTAAGGCTGCACATGCAGTTAAACTCTTTCTTTTTTTCTTTTTTTTTTCTTTTTTGATACAAGACAAAATACAGCAGTACTAGTATATAAAAAGGCACTGAGCTACTCTACTCATAAATGTCCCTAAGGAGGACTTCATTGTATCAGATCCTATGGTTTCTGACGAGAGATGGCTTCAGCTGAAACTAACGCATTTAGGTGATAGTTTTTGTTTATTTTTGTGAGCATCATTCCTTTTGAAAAGTAGGACAGTAAGCGCAACTTGAAATTTATTGTCCAAAGAAAAGTGTGATTTAGATGCCGAGAGCCAGCGTAGAGCCTGGCTTCTAGTAGTGAAAAGTCTCATCCCCCAACCCTTTTCTTTGTAGCTACAAGAACACCTTCTCGTTTCTTTGTGGCAAGACTGGCAGCACATGGGAAGGAACGACTTTTACTGGTGGGTCCAGTGGCTCCAAGAAGCTGTTCAGTGTGTTTACACAGGGTATACAAAGATTTTGAACACAACTTTTTTTATCCCTTACAAATGTAGTTCTACCATGTGTCACACCTGTAAGTAGAAAACCACATTCAATGGAGACCCATAGTAAGAGCATGATTTTTCTCTTTAGTTTTGACTAACTTTTTTATTATTAAGGGTTGAGCTGAATAATATAGCACACTAGAGAACGTGAAGTCCCATCTAGCAGTTTGCCCTTCTTGGGTTGGCTTATTTCTATTTGGATATCACCAACACTCCTGTGCAATGCATTCCTTCCCCCATAGTTCTCAAAAATAAATGCAGTCAAGTTCCAAAGTTTGTTTTGACTTGGTAGTGGTTGGGACACGGGACAACAGGGAGTTTCTGGGTGAGAGGAATTTGGTAAGTCTGTTTTGTTTGGTATGTTCACAGCAGGACACTGTGTTTCTCATTGTGTGATTCTACAGGTGTCTCATTTTAAGTATCTACCACTTCTTTGACTTGATATTTAGAACTCTTAAATCTTTCCCCTAAAATAATGTGATTCTGAAATTTTGCATATTTTTTGTATTGTAATCATGCCTTCTGTGTGTCATGCTTGCAGCCTTTAGAGACTTGAGCCAGTAGAGCACTACAGTAATGGTTTAAACCCTATGATAATGACCCATCAAATGCACTAAGTGCAAAACCTTTGGGAAGAATAAAGGTGGGGTTTTTTTGTTTGTTTTTTGATAAATGTGGCTTTTAAAACTTGCTTTGAGAGCATGGAAATGTTACATGCAGCAGCATTAACAGCAAAGCCGGGACCAAGCCTTCAACGCGCTCAGCCCTCTGCAGTTGTCAGTGCTGGGAGAACAACTTGATCCAGGAAGGTGGCATCTCGCAGGGGACGCCTGTTCGGAATCGCCCCGGGACCGTCGTTCCTTGTGGGGCTGGTGAGCACTCGGATATCCCCATTCACAGCATCAGGTAGGCAGAGCAAGAGCTGCACTCCTGACCTGCTTCTGCTCTGGTCACAGGTGGCAGTTTTCAGCTGTGATGTGACTTGAAATGAATTTCCTGGACAAAGGGGTTGGAGAAACTGGTAGGCAATGAGGATTCAGAACGCGTGGTATGTGCTGGCTGGAAACCTGCTTGGGTTTTGCAGCACCTGGCTGGTGATGCATCACACCAGATCAGTGGTTAAGCCCACAGTTTAACTTGCTTTTTAGGCAGGTTGAGGCAGCTTATGTCTTGTGCACTGTTGTTAAGCCAGCACAGTGTGGTGGTGATCCCAAAGCAGGAGACCTGGCTGAGAAAATCATCTTGCCATAGAACCACCTTATTTTTGAGCATGATTGGTTCCTTGATGCAGGCCTGTGTGGGCCCCCTTCAAGGGAAGGTGACAAGGATAGGAATGAGGGACAGGGAGCAAAGTCAGCCTTGTTGTCCAGAAGTTTATTTGCATCTTTCCCTTTTCATTGCGCCAACCCGTGTGCCCACCTTCCACTCCCAGGCCTGCTTGCAACTGCTAGGAAGTAGAGAGGAGGAGAGGCAGGAGGAATTCCTGCCGTGTTTCCCACCAGACAGCATAGTGTGAAATTTTCCCCCCAGCTAGGGCAGCTAGTACTAAGGAAAGTCCAAGCAGCAACTTCCCCACCAGGAGTCTGAGCTGGTCACTGTCAATCTCATATCAGAGGTAAAGTTTACTCCTAAAATTTGCAGTGAGATAAGTCTAGAGTTTGAAATAGTTTTATTTTGGTGAGGTACAGAGGAGTGTTACCTCTAGCATTGTAATAGGGAAGTATAAATGTCAGGTTTGAGAGCTAATTTTTATCTGACTGGAATAACTGCCCCAAGTGTCACTGTCACCTTCTACATCAGTGACAAGCCCAATAGAACTAAAGACTGATCTAACCCTTTTCAAGGGTTTCTTTATTTTTTCTGGACTAAAGCTAGAGCTGAGAAATGAGTCTGTGCAGTATTGGGTAAAGAGTGCCCCAGGTGCTAAATCCTGCCATGAGGACACCTTTAACAGGCAGCAGTGAGCACTTGGATCTCCTTGACCTCAATGCAGAGAAGAGGGGAAAGGCACTGCAAGAAAACAGCAGGCAGGTCACGCTAAAAGGGCATGATGTTAAACAGCAGCGAGGGTGGCTTGGTGACTGCTCTGCAGCAGCACAATGACTGCAGGGGCATCTTCCTCCCAGGACCCAAGATGCCACCAATCCAGTTGTGGATGTGCTGTGCTCATGGGATTACAGCTGTGGAAATGCTAACAAAAATCAGCCCCAATCTCCAGCATAGCCCTACCCTTCCTTCAGGGGCAGCTGGAACAGCCCTCATGTAGAAGCTGGATCTGCTACCAGCTCCTTAAGCTCCCAACAACAAGTCTGCATGGGCCCAGCTGCAGTCTGCTTGAAGGTGCCCTCCTCTCGCCTCATGCTCAAGACGGACTGTTTAACTGGCACTGTTGCTCACTTGGAAAAGGGGCTGGTTGAGTCAAGGCCTAGTAGCAGCTACCCTCCCATAGAAAGCAAAAAAAAACACCCCATGTTCTTTTTCAGTAATATTAGAATAATTTATAAAGGCATCAAAACAAATTCAACATTTATTAACAAGCTGATCTTGCAAACAACACTTAATTACTAAGACATTTTGGTGAAGTTGAAGGCACCTTGAAACAAGATGGAGTAGTAGCAAAAATCATGCTGCTTTCTGCAACATCCCCTTCATTTTAAAACTGCCTGACCACTACCTGAATGACTTCTCCACTTTGGCTCAGGGACATCTTTTACTGGACTTGCAGTAGGAACCTGCCCTATTTATAGCTGAGAACTGTTTACTATTCCCCACCCAGCCCAGCTTCTGTTCCAGGCTAGGAAGAGACCAAAGTTGCTTCAGGTTTTTATGTTTCTTGATGTCAGTGACTAGTTTTTTCCACAGGTACCTTCCTGACTTTTGAATTAACGTTGCTCTCATCTCACTATTCACTAGGAACAACAAGACAAAAAAAAAAAAAAACAAAAAAAAGGCCCAGGAGTCCAGCTGGCCAGAAGCTCTTCTGCTGTCCGAGGCCCTGCAGCATTTGCCAAGCAAACAAAGGGGCCAGGGCCCCGCGTGGGGAGTGCTGGGGAGAACTGGCTCCTAGGCTATTTCTGTGTACTGGGTCTGATAACAGCCCTGCTGGATCCTGCCTTAAGCTAACAGCCAAAGGAAGTGAAGTCACTCTATCTGTAAACAGCTAAGTTATCTAGCAAGGAACATTTCTATTCTGCTGCAATAGCTACTGGAAAAAAAAAAAAAAAGGCACTGCTTCAGATGCTGGGCACTTACCTACAGTCAGTTCACTCCCAAGAGGAATTTAACCTTCACTCCAGGGAGTGTTTTAACAGGGGAAAGAATCTCCTCCTGTTCTTGTACTCTGAGCTGACCCCATAACAGTTCCAGCAGTAACTGTGTTCTAGGAATGATCTTTCTAATTCAACCTGATTTGAGAAGGATCTCAGTCATTTCTACTGCCAATTAACAGAGAAAAGAAACTGCTTCCTGACAAGTTTTCCAGTAGAACATTAGCAAGGTATCATAGTCAGCCTGCTTTGGCTTCATTTCTTATTTAACTATCCAGTGCACTTGAAGCTGGAGTGGACACACCATCCTCCTGGAGGTAGCTTATTCCATAGAGGTGCTCCAGCTGTTGGAGGGGATGAGGTAACCAACTTCCCTCCTGAGCCTACCCCAAGCCCAGGTGCTGTTAGTCTCACATACCTGGCAACACCTGTGCAACAGGCACTGATAAAGGGAGGAAGAGGAGGTGCGTCCTCTTCCTCCATGCTTTAAGTCTGCATCTGATCATTGGGAAGCTCTGACAAAAGTCTAGGACAGAATCTGTGACTGCTGCCCAGGACAGAGGTTTCTCACAAGTGAACAAACCTGGTTACTCTGTCATCTCCCTTCCTTGTGAAGGGCGGGTTGTTTTTATCTAGTCATGAAACTGAGGAAACTAAGCCAAGGAAGGGGATCAAAATTAAACAAGTTCCTCATTTCCGGGAACCCCTTCACACAAGTCAGCACAGCTTAGCAATGCTAACAGAACAGCTCTTACATTTTTTTTTAATATGTGAAAAACGTTCTGTAACTTGTTCTTACCAACAGCCATCAGTACTGTGGGCTAGGGACTGCTTAGCTGATCCATGTCCTTTGTTTCATACAGTTTGGCTTTTATTATTATAAAATAACCCAGTGTCAGAGAATGGCAGGCAGGCAAACAGCAGTAGCAAGAACAGTATTAACTAGCAGAGTGTCCCATTTTAACCTGTATAGAACATTAAATGAAAAGAAAGAGCTCTGCAATCAGGGAAAATGCTTCAAAGTAAAGATGGACAGTTTGCAGAGAAACACTGGATAAAATAACTCTCCTTATCAGAGCTAAAGAGCTCCGAGGAGGCCAGGAAGCCAGAACTGTTGTGATTCTCTATGGCATTGGCTCTAAGTCACATTTGTTGGTAACCTCACTACGGTATAGAAATGTTTTCTCCAAAAATGAAGTCTTCCATGGCAATATACAGCATATTTAGCAGGAGTTCAACAGCCCCTTGGGTTATCTGTCACACTTAGCTTGGTGCAATAGTCAACAAATGTTATCCGATTCCAAAGCTGATCCTTGGGACTGCCGCGTGTTTCATTCAGGTGGTCAGACGAGGCTTCCTGGCCAGGACACCACAGTCAGAGTGACTTTGTTTCTTTGCTCTTTCAGCATTGGGATCAGTTCTGAATTGCTCATTCCTATAGCAGGCACTCCATTCACTGCCACTATTTCATCTCCGCACCTAGTCAGAAGAGAGGAAACGTGCTGATCAGGACACACTTAATTCACTTAATTCACCACACTGAGGTCCCAAAACATTTGGATAGCTAGTCCTCCCCAAAATGAGATAAGCTCTTTGTGAAGTGAATCATTTGCCTAGATGAAAGATTAGGGGCAAGAAGAACATGCAGTGCAAGCACAAAGCCCTGCTGCTGATGATGGCTAGCTTTTAAGTCTGTATTCACAGGGACTTAAGATGGACAAGATAAACAGAGGATGGTGCAAGTTTAAGTGATAATGCAGTGAAGGTCATCAGGAGTGCGAGTGAAAGGCCCATCAGCAGAGGGAAAGAGTTACAGAAAACCAATCTGTGCTGATAATGATTCACCACCAGTGACTCTCCTACAGCTCCTGGGGAGGCAGACACTAAGGTGAAGTGCTGAAGCCTGCTGTCCCACTGTGCTGCAACAGGTTTTGCCTGATCTGGACACTTTGGAGAGCACCAAGCTCTCTATTGAGCAGCTGTACCCTTCTGCCTATCGCAAGCTGAAATGCAGTAGCAGTTTTACAGAAGCCAGCAGGTTACCTGCATTGCTGTCCTAGTTCCAACATGATATAATATGGAATTTAAAATAAAACAGTTGCATTTTATAGACACCAAAACACTTATTAATAAAAGGGACTGTTACAACTTTGCTAGTAGTAATACTCCACAAGGGAGCATCACTAAAAGTCACTAACTCAGCTGGTTACAAGGGGTAGAAGACTCTAAAACTGTCCACACCAGCACTGGTGATCAGCAGCGCTCCCACCACAAGCACCCAGCCCGCAGCGCAGCCCACACTCACTTCAGCCTCCGGTCTCGGAACGCGGGAGTTCCAGGCACGATGGTTTTGATGAAGAACGGCTGGTTGCCTTTACTTTCTTCAAAGCCTCCAACAATGCTGAACCCCCAGCTCTCCAGGTTGCCTTTACTCAGGACAATATCTTGGCAGCAGTGGAGGTAACTGTGAAGACAGGCACAGTCAAAACCAAGCAAGGATTCTGTGTGTTTTTCAAGGACAATTGCTTAACAAGTTCTTGTTGCAGGCATCACTGAGGAAATAAAATGAGATAAAGTTGCCTTTCTTCTACTAAACACACACAAAAAAGTCACATCTTGAATATGAAAGGTTCTTGCAGGACTTGCAGCCAGAATTTTACTGTTTACAGTAAATATTTGGCTCTTAAGAAAGAACAAGACTGTTTTTGAACAGCAGTAGCTGAAGTGTATCCACTTGAACTTGTGGATTCAAAGTCTGGAGTGCACTGCAGGACTAAGATGGCTTTGAAGGACAAGACATAAGCACCAACAGGAGCTACTGCAGCAGTAGGAAACCTCGCCGTGCCGCCCGAACTGCTGCGTGGTCACCCCACCAAGGCAAGCCAGCAGCTGAACTTGGCTGCAGTTCTGCCCAAGGCTGTAGAGCAGTTTGAAGCTGCGTTCCACATTTCAAAAGCTGCCTTGGCTAACTTCACACCAGGAAAAAGACCCAATTATCTCCTTTCCCAAGTGCAATTTACTTCTCTACATGTTCTCTGTATACAACAGTGGAGACCCACCCTACTGCTACCTCTAGATTTGGGTCCTACTGACACACAAATATAAAGACACAGGTAAGACAGATGCATTTGGTACCTACTGCAATTATGAAATGAAATCACCCAGGGTATTGTCTCATATAGATGGGCTGCATGCACTTTCTACACAAGGTGGGCAAGGTCATTCTTCTACTTCAGATATTTGTTAGAAATCTATTTTCCATGTGTAGAGGGCATTTAGAAAAAGGAACATTAATTCACCGTGATGGAAAGTGGTGGTAGACAGGATATTTTAAGCCTGTCCTTTATAAAAGCACAGGTTTTTCCTTTATAAAAGCACAGGTTTTTATTCTGAGAAATGCTGTGCTGGGTTTGCAGTTCTGCTTCCCATTGAGGACTTGTAAGCCACAGGGCCACGACACCGAGCGGCTATTAGCAACAGCTGAGAGAGCTCAGGCTTCATGGAGGGAGATGTCAGATAAAACTCAAAGAAAAAAGGGGGAAAATTGCTACTTCTCTGCCCTCTGATAATTAGGCACAAGTCATACTGAGCACAATAATCATTTCAAGAGCCAGAGGTTTTACAGAGGAGACAAGTCAAGCTGTAAACTTAGTATTTGTACAGTCTTTAGGTTTCAGTATGCAATCAAATAGTCTTCCTGCCCCATAACACCGTAGCCACCTAGAACTGCCTCTTTTGAAATAGAATTTTATACGGTGAATAGTTGGTGTAGAGCTAATACAACACTGGGAGGAAATCTCGTGGAGTTTCTTTCAGTGCTGCCTCTGTGAACAGTGGCCCTGGTAAACACTCAGCAGCTGCAATAAGCAGCACGTAATTGACTTGAACCACTCATCACCATCAGTTAATAACAAACCACAGAAAGGACAAAGTGAAAGTTTGCAGGGCCATTAAGGCTGCCCACAGTTGTGTTGCAAGATAAAAACACAAGAAGGATGAAAGCCACCCAGTTCTTTATAGCCTGCTTGAGCTATAAGCCTACCTGCTTGAGGAAATACCGCTCCACTGTCCCTGTTGAGGAGATTTTTAGCTCCTCAGAACTATCTGGTGCTGTCCAGTCACAGACAGGGAGAAGCTGCTTAGGAGCTTACGTGCTAAATGCTGCAGTGCTGGAAGGAGCTTTAGGAGCAGATGTTTCCATCCTCTGCCCAGCATCCCAAGACAGAGGGTCAGGGCTTTAACCTTTTCAGCAACACTAGCCCCGCAGTTCTACTGCACAGTCCGTAGGGGCTCTGCCTTAGAAACCTGCAGTTAGGAGACAGCAGGCTAGCTACTGAGCCAGCCAACAGGCCAGATGGTGTTTATTATAAACAATAAAACACAAATATGAGAATAAAGACTTGAATTGAACACAGGAAGCTGAAACATTGCAAAGACTGACTATATCTCCAGCTGTGAGCACTAACTTGGACTCTGCTCTTTCAGCACAAACTTGCTATTTCTTACTACTAAGAAAAGTTTCTTTTACAGAAGATAAAAGAATATTCAACTGGACTAGAGAAATACTAGAGAAAAAAAGCTGAACATCAGCAACAAGAAAATCCTGTGTCACTAGTGGTGAGCTTTCCACTTTCACACTGTATTGCAAAGTATCAAGCACAACAAAGCCAGGTCTGCTTTGGTGAGCAGGGCAGCCCATGGAGAACATGTCTGAGGAGAAAGGTCCTCTTCAACAGCACATTCCTGATGCAAACTAACATGATAACATAGAGGCACTTGAAACATTTCAAGGAGAGAGCAAGCAAAATCTTTAAAATCCTTTAAAATTCTGAAAATAGTCTGATCATGTCAGCCAAAGTTAAATACTGTGAACACTTTGCTTAGCTGAATAAGGCAGAGCTGTTTGTTGTAATGGCTTTAGGGAAGCTCTTCTGTAGAGGACTGGTTAGAGGCTGCTGCTGTGAGCAGAGAGCACAATCAGTGAGGAACAAGGCAGCACGTGACAGAGTTAAGGCCATATTTATTACTGGAAGCAAGCAAGAAAAAGCTTGTTGGGTACTGGAATGATCTGTCTTTGCACCTTCTGAACACCCACAAAGCCAGGTCAGCACAGAAATCCAGATGTCTGAATTCAGTGCGAGAAGGAAGGAGAGAATAGGAGCAGAAGATGCTTCCAAAAATCACTATGCCTCGCTTCACTGAAAGGAATAGCAACGGCCAAGGAAGAGGAGCCAACATGAATACAAGTCACAGTTTCAAGCAATGTGTCATGGAGCAGGTCCCAGTCTGTTCCCAAGACGAAGGCAGGTGACAGATGAGCCAAGGCTACACTGCAGTCCTTGCACCAGAACCAGCACAAGGTGCAACCACCTGGATAAAGGGGAGCACAGCCAGCCTGTGCCACGTTGTACCTAAGTGCAGCACTGCCCATGAGGAAACCAACCGCAGCCAGTGCCCGGGGACCTGCACGCGGACCTGGTTATGCAGCTGCCGCCTGGACTAGTTGCCACCAGACCTGTGCAGAACAGTCAGGCTCACTCCCCATGAGAAAGGAGGAAGCAGTAGGGCTGTGCTGAACACGAGCCAAGCTGCAGCAGCTCGGGACACAAAGACTGCCTTCCTTGGGCTGCTAGGTAGCAAGGGAAATAGAACAGAGGCTGCATTAGGGTTTGTTCTTACAGGTGCCTCAAGAAAGAGGGCTGCAAATAACCTGAGCCTTTCACAAGAGGGTTTGGCCTTGTCACTCTTGATTGCGGTTCTGGCTAACTGGAAAAGATGTCAGAGATGCACACAACTGATTTTCGAGGCTGAGGATATTCCAAAGAAACTGCAAATGTGAGCAAGTAGAGGTTCACCTCTTAAAGAATAAAGAATGATCCTTTCTTGAGAAGACCCCAGTACTGTAACATGGAACAAAGCATAGATTTTAGCAGTAACGTGGCAAGCCTATGGTTAAGGGCATTGCAACATGAAAACACAGCTTGTTGAGAAGCACTTGTTTTATACTACAGATTACACAGTTAAAACAACTGAGAAGTGTTGGATTGAAAGACTTCCTCCCCTGAAGAATTTTCATTCCATTGGATACTATCTAGTAGCAGCAGGGGATTGATGGGTCACACAGTGAAAAGCAGAAGTTATTTATGCATTAACTGTACTGCAGTCTCACTAACAAGTAAGGATTCCCACTGCCTTAGCTAAAGAATACTGGGAAATTTTAATTGCTTTCAGAATAGATGACCCTATGACGTAACTCATTTGTAGTGAAAGCCTGCAGCTCAACTGATCTCTCCACTGAGCAAACGTACCTAGGCAGCCCGAGCCACATGATCCAGAGGGGAGACCAACCGAATCCCTGCTCCTTCATGTCCAGAGGTGGATCTGTTGGGTCCGATACAAGGATTTCCAAGGCTTTCAGTACTACCGAGTGGGAAGCTGCATTAGATTTCAGTGCTGAAACAGCTTCGTAGTAGTTCAGGTGAGTCAAATCAATGCCATTTATGCTCAGAAGTATATCTCCTGGTGATTAAGATAGGATAATTAGTCACCCAGACTTAACACATTGTTTGCTAAGAATTCCAGTTTTACATAGAACTCTTTTCAATGACATTTTAGTGTCCAAGTGCAACTTTCACTTAAAGCAATTCATAACGTATAAAAAGGGCAGCTAAGGGTCTATGAGCCTCCTTACCTCTTTTGATTCTGCCATCCCTGAAAAGGCATCCAATAGGCTGTACACTTGTTACATAAATTGGAAGCTTGTTTTTGTTATCTCTTCCACCTCCAATTGTTATTCCCAATGATTCTTTGGGTTCCTTTTTTATTGAAACTGTCTTCTCATGACTTATGTATCCCTGAGGTAGATCCTGCAAAGACACAATAAAGTTTAGGTTCATTTATGCAGTTGACATGAGAAGCCCTGGCTGGAACTTCTTCAACCTGGAATTTGTGAGCAATGTTACTGGAGAGCAAAGTCAGCTTCTGGTGTATTTGCTCTGGGTAAAAGCCCAAAAAAAACCATCCTGTATTCACACATGATAATCATCATAACAAAGGGACTGCTGTTTGGGAAACCATGCCACTCTCCTAATGACTTCACATCTTTCTGCAGCCAAAAGATATTCACTCTGAGCAGAACTGTTTTGGTTTTGCTCTGAGAAACAGCCAACCAATTCATTTCAAGGCTTTTCGCATCAAGCAACCAATCTCTCTCCAAATAGTAATAAACTGGGATGGATTGGAATCAGTAGCTTGTATTCCCTATCCGCTCTCACTTTGCTTCTTGTGCACCTCAAAGTTTTCTCAAAGGGTAGTATTAAACATAGACTGTCTAGCTCCAAATTGTAAGCTTACAGGACTGGGCACTGCTCTGAAAGTGCTGTGTTTGACAGCTGGTGGGAACGAAGTCCAGTTCCATGACAGTTCCACAGAGGTTAAGTTTGCACAGCCCTTTACAAATAATGTGGGAAGAATGTTTAATCCATTCTCAAGATCAGAGACGTTTGAATAGATAGTTCTATGTGTTTTTCCTAAAAATTGTATTTCACATGGTTCTCTTGTGCCAACACAATATGTACTGCTTTTCAGCAGCTCAAGGAGAAAAAAGGAGCTTCTGACAAGTCCTATATGAGAACTTACAATGAGAAGTAAATTGACCTGTTAGACCAAGAATAAGAGGTGCTTTTGGCTGTATTACACAGCTTACCTTCTGGTAGGTGCATTTTCGCCTATAGTGATTCTGGTCCAGTCTTCTTCGATGGTGCACTGGGCTTCCCCCATTGCTGCTGCTGCTGCTGTTTGATGTGCTGCTGTCGTCAACGGAGTCGGGCAGCTGAACACCCGGCTGCCTCAGCACTACGAAGTTCACTCGAGATTCACTGGTCTGCCCGGAGAAACAAAAAGCAGTTTCTGACACCATTCTAGGGCCAAGTCCCATCATGGGACTTGTCTTAGCGAGTACTTTCATCTCCTGATGGCTTTAAATAATGTTTCTAAAAGCTGTTCAGAGAGCCTTTGTCTTTATGAAGAGGTGTGGTATGTGCTAAAAGGAGCCACCTAAGACCAGTGTTGATTAGTGTTTTGTCTTTAGGTGCATCTCTTGGATAAACACAAGGTTGTTTCAATGCATTAGAAGCTAGAGACAGCCCCATCATTCTGGAGGAGAAAGATCAAACACCAGTTTCTACAAAGGATTTGAAGCAGGGCTGTGCAACATGCGATGGTTCTTCCAGGGCTTCTGAGGCCTGATAACTAAAGGAATTAGTAAACATTGGCTAGAAAGAAGTACAGACAGGTTTCACTTCTGCCTCCCTCTGCTGCAAATAAAAAGTGGCAAAAAATGATAAAATCCTCCACATCAGTACAAATAATAGAAATAGCTTTCTTTTATTCTGCTACAAAATGAACAGAGTGAGAACACTTGCTGGCCCATATGGTGCAAGACCATGATCTGAGAACCAGCTGCCTTTTCTTTGACTGTAAAGAGACTCGTTAAAGCTCTTTGCCTCCCAGCTCATCTACCCTGTCTATTGTTCAACACCTCCCTCCTTTTTCCCCCCTCTCTCTCTGATAAGTACCTGCAGCCCTGACCTTTTGTCCAGGATCATTGTCAATTAAACACTTCAGCAGCTGCATGCCTGGCCCCGGCAGAGGTATTCACTATTGTTACTGCTCTTGTAATGTGGTTTGTTCTTCTAGATAATCCCACAAAACCTTCCCATGAGGAACTGGCTTCAGGTCAGGCAGATTTGCTTATTTATGACATCTGCTACAACAGCACGGAGAACTAGCAGTGACTCTCACTTCAACCAGAGACCCTTTGGTCGTTTCTCTTGGTGCCACAGCACCTTGCAGCAGCAAATCCCATAGCCTGAAAGACAACTAAAACTGAGGCAGGGGTCTTCATTTTTAAGGGAAAGCTTTGTTTTCTGAAAAATAATTTAAAAGCTTCACACCACAGAAGTAAATTTGGATGGGACATTTTTTTTTTCCAGACAATAACTGGCACATCTATGTCTTTATAAAATATATTGTAAATATTGTATTTTAAGAGGAGGATTCACCTTCCTATTCACCTGGGTCAGATCAAACAGTAGGTACAGTATATAAGTGTGCATATACAAAATATGGCATATATGTATCTACAGGTGCAAATGGGACCCTTCACAATACAGACAGGACTGCTTTCCTCAGATGGCTTCTAAAAGATGGCTTTTAAAAAAAATCTTTGTTTATTTTTTATTGCAACAGCTAATATTTGAAAGGCCAGGGTTTTATAAAACATCACAAGGAATTAACTCCCCAAATCCCTTGAAACCTGTTCTGAGACTCTAGTTAGCGATTTCTGTGGGACCACAACAGATTTCCTGCTGTAGGAGGTGCACTTGGATACTAGCAGAGGAGCACAGCAGCACTTAAAGGGGTGCAGACAAAATTCTAATCCCCATCACAGCCATACTGGGACACCGCTCTCACTCCCAGCCCACTGTGCTCCTCTCATGATTATCAAGGAGGGAACAGGCTCTCCCTCACTCTGACCTCAGATCCTTCCCAGGAAATAAACAGTAAGCAGCAAGATGTATTGTGTCAAGACCTTATATAAAAACAGAAACAGGAGGCCACTACCTCCTGGAAGGAGGATAAATAATTTTAAACTGAACTATGTGGAATGTGCCACACTTAAGCTATCCTTACTTTTTACTCCTTAAATCAAAATTCCTTGCCCAATCCCTTCACCAAAAGGGTACATTGATACATTGCAACAAGAACATTCCTATTATGCAGGGAAAGACCACTGTGCTACTTCCCTTTTAGTACTTTAGGAGTTTTTTGGACTAAGTGACCTTGTTGCTTTTAGACTTCCTGCTTCCCAAATACAGCTTCAGTGGGAAATCTTAAGAGGGATCCAGATAAATCACAACGATTCTGTGCTGCCAGCCTATCAGATCTCCTCGCAAACATCCTTAGTTTGACTAGTTGAAACGAAGCACAAAAGGCTGTCTTAACCTCTCATCTTTGCTGCATACTTCTACGGTATATACAAATATTCATTCTGCAAGAAAGGCTCCAAACACCACCCTACAAAGCAGATCCAGCTGCCTTAGCTGAAGTGCTACGAGCAACTGCCTCACTTAAGTTTGTCAGAGATGACTCATGATGATTCCCACTCCTCGTGTTTATCTTCATTTGGAAGCAGTGCTTCCCACACATCCGCAAGGGAAGTCACTTTCCCAAAGAGATATTTAAGGGAATGCAGTTTGCCCTAGCATGTTGTCAGCCCTTGGGTCAGAACAGGCGCCCTGCTATCACTGCAGACAGCTGCAGAGCCATTAGACAGACAATTCTGTGTTATAAATTACCTGGATTATCTGTGCAGCAGTCTCAGGTGTTCCTTGCCTCAGGTCCTGGCCGTTTATGGACAGCACTCTGTCATTCCGACTCAACTTCCCATTTTTGGCTGCCAAACCTCCCTCTAACAGATCCAGAATAAAGATCCCTGCCTCATCTGTCTTCCTGATGAGTTTGATTCCCAAGGGTTCAGATCGGTCTTTCTTAATCAAGGTAACGTGGATCACTTCCCGGTTTGGAGCAGAATTGGAATCCTGCTGGACAGTCTTACTGGAAAAACCTTTCTCCTGCAGGACCATGAGGTGGAGAACAGGGCCTGGGTGGCGCAGGAAGGAGACAGCTTGACAGTGAGTCACACTGCTAATGTTGACACCGTTCACCTAGAAAGGCAAACAAAGCAGAGCCATTAATCAGAACCAAGATAATTGAGGCACCTTCTGCAGTGCAGAGCATCAAAGTTGGAAGCAGGATGTACTACCCCCTATTCAATGCACGAGTGAAGGAGTTGCTTCTGATGTGCATTAGAGCAGGGTTTTCTAGAAAAGAATGCAGAAGAAAGCAAATTAAGTAAGGCTGACAGTGATGGGGAATTGCTGAGTACAGAGAAGAGACAGGAGACTCGAACAGCTTACAAATCTGAAAGTACAAAATTTAAAAAACCATCACAGGTACTACCCCATAGCGATGCAGAACTGATTACCACTAACTTCAGTATTCAGAACACACCTGCGGGAGAAAACTCAAGTTGGAGACTTCCCAAAACCTCACACAGAGGAATGCTCCATAGTCTGCAGAACTTCTAAAACCATCGCTCCTGTCATCCTTTAACAGATTAATTCAGGGAAACTACTTTTTGCATTGACCGTTGTTACGTAAGGTTCTATACAGTTTCTCTAGGATGTCAATACTACGTGTGGGAACCTGCTATATTGACAGTCCAGTGAGGGTTGTGGCATGCAGTTTGCCTGGATAAAGCAGACTTTACAATCTTGAGTTGGTTTCTCAAACCAACAGTGTATCAACTAGACATGTATGGGGCTGGCAGTCATTACCACAGTCCAAGGGGATAATTAGGTCTTGATTGCTTGTCAAACAATTGGGCAGCCATAGCCAAGAGATTTTAATAGTTCTCTGCACATCAGCTTTACTGCACAAGCTTCTGTCACCTGGAGAAGCCCATTGCAATGCAGGATAATGGGACATCAGGTTAATTTGGAAACTCAATCAGGCTGTGGGTCAACTTTACCAAGTCTATCAGATAAGAGATCCTTTCATTTTCTGCAACACAGTCTAAATACCAAAAAAAGTGGAAGATACAGAGTAAATAAAATCCACCTCCAGTCAAGAAAAGCAGCAAGGGGATGACCAGTGGGATTTCCCGTACCTCAAGAATATGGTCTCCTGGTGCTATTCTTCCGTCTGCAGCCACAACGGAATGTCGCACGACTTCCTGGACGACAATGTTTCCTAGGGGCGTATCCTTACCCCCCACTATCCTCATCCCCAGATCTTCCTCGGGGTCTTCGCGGTGAATTTCAATCGTGCTGGTTTCAGCCACAAGACTCGCTCGCTGGGGAAGATCTGATTGTCAAAAGGAAGAGAAAAAAGTAGCCAACACATGAACAGGAACTTCTCCTATACAGCAAATATCCCTGGCAGGCTGCGTTCAAAATTAGCATTTGAAGGGAGAGGAGAGGGAAGCAGCTATGAGGAGTTTAATGCACGAGTAGGTCAAATTAAAAGCTGTAAGGCCCCTAATTTCTGAGCAGTTTCTGCAAAATGTTTCCCTTTCCTTCTAGCTTATGGCAAATTTAAGCTTTCGTTGTGATTTCTTAAGTTTTAATAAGGGGTATTAAGTATGTTTCATTTACTATTTGGAGATGTGACAGCTAGAAGTCCACTGCCATAGATGAACAAACAGCAAATCCCCAAATCCCATGATCCCCAGTAGAAAAGAAGCCTGCTAAGCTGTAATTAGTGGTTTGCCAATGCCCTGACTGTACCACAGGCAGCTCTCTCCAACTTCCCTTCTCTGTCTTCCTTCCTCCTCCTTCCCCATGCTGTTGCTCGGAGCCAGGAGTGCTGTTTAGGTACTTTACAACATGCTGAAGCCTAAGCAACACTTCCCGGGCACTTTGACCGTGAAGTTGCTGCCAGCAAGTGCCATTAAATCCACCCAGCACCTCAGCAGCTGGGCGGGCCCAGTGCCGGTCAAGGTGAGCTGCAGATACCAAGCAAGAGATGCAGGCTAGGCCTAGGCTATACCCAAACTTGCTTAGTGCCATTAAGGTATTGATCACTCTAGGAAACTGCCTGTATATTTAACAAGATTAAGAAGCTGGAGCTTTTCCTCATTATTACCTGACCCCTTTCAGGGTTTTATGTCACACTCCCTTTTGGGGAACTACTTCTATTCCTTTCCATCACAAGAGAAAATACTGCAAATAAAGTATCCATTGCAGGCCAACAGAGATCTCTGAACTGTTTTGGAGTTTTGTGCTTGTGAGCAGATCTTCCCAAACATGATGCACTTGAGTGCATCTTTCTGCTGTTCACAGAGAGGCTGAGGAAAAAGATCTTCCTCTAGAGGGACTAATGGCTGAATAGCACTGAGGATACCCAAGAATGTTGGGGGCACTTTTAAAATTGCTATGTATGAAATAATTACCTTATTTTTATAATATTGAAGGCAATTACATAATTACATTCCTCTGATAAACTCACCTTCTTCAGTCTCTTCAAAAGCTGGATTAACCAGTCCAGGCTCCGCAGTCCCCAGCGACACCACGGCAGCTGCAGAGCTCTCTGCTACAAGCGCCGACCCTCCAGCCGCCACCTCTGGATCCCTGGCTGTGAGCGGCTCCACCTTGGCAGGGAGATCTTCCTTCCCTTTGGAAAAGGGATGCTTTTTCCGCTCTAGTTCAGCTCTGTATTTCTTGAAACCCGGACACCTAGAGAAAGATTGTGTCTGTCACTCAGGACACGGGCGCTGCCTATGTGGTTATCCCAGCACATGCAAGCTCTGGCTGACAGGCGCATGCAAAGCACGTTCGAGATCTCATCATCCACCTGCCCAGCTCACAGCACAGATGCTAACATCCACTCTCCATGGACCTTCATCTCCTAATAGTATGAGTTAAATGTAGGATTCCTATTTACTTACTTTCTAAATTATTATGCCAATGAGTTCCAAAAGGGGAGGCAATAGGAAGAGCAGTTTTCCTTGCTAAATATTTACCAGAGAAACCATTCGTGAAGACAAGAATACATCCTTTAGAACATAAGCAAATACTTCGGTCAGCTCTAAAAGGGTAGAACATGAACTATACCTTCAACTTGGTTTTGTTTCTAACAAATCAGTAACACACAACAATAGTGACCAAGGCCAGCTTAGTGTTTTGCTGGCCAAGCCCTGACCTCTCTTTCCAGTCCACTCAGATGATGGTTCTATTTAAGTGAGGACAATTTAGGAGAGTTTATCCCCTGTTGCCTCCTCCTCCAAATAAATGTCCAAATACTTCTATATTCAACAAAACACACTCTGTGCAACTATACCATAGCCAGCCCATCTCAGCAAAAAAATGAGAGAGGAAAAGCAGGCTCTTTCAAGAGTAAATCAACAGATGGTAATAAAAAGGTGGCATGCGAGGCAAGTCATGAATGCAAAATCATCACTTCCAGGGCCCTGAGTAGGACTGGGTGGTTGCTAGAGTCACATCTGAAATGAAACGATTTACATTCTAGCTAAACACGTCTCACTGTGATTCTCCTGGTCATTTTCTCTGAGCATTAACATGGCCCTAAAAGCTGCAGACAGGAGCAGATCAATCCACTTGTGCTTGTCTCTGAACACCAGGAGAGGCTGCACTTATATTCTCAGACTGGGAGGCAGCAGCATTGAAGCCTCTTCCCTCACTCAAGAGGCTCCATGGCTCCAATGCGAGCTCTCAGCTTGCGCGTATGAAGCCAAGTAGGACTCGTAGGGATACACACTTGGAATTGCCAAATATCCTAACCAGAGCTTACCTGAACATCAGTTGCCTTTTTTTTTTTTTTTTTTTTTTTTAAGTACAGTTTTGCCACAAGAAGCTACAGTGTAGCTGAAGGGAAACAAGCCTTCTGCATTCTTCATTACGCATCAGCGAGACACACTGCTTGCAGCAGGGCTTGTACTTGTGCTTAGCTCCCTTTCCAGCAATCATTAACTAGGAGCTGAGGTTCCGCAAGTGCCACGGCAAGACCTGTCACCTGCTTTGCTTTTAAAGGGGCAAAACCAGCAGTGGAAGCTACCAAAACATGTATGTTCAGAAGTGCAAGAGGAAAAGGAGTCTCCCTCTCCCTACAGAAGGGAAAAGGATCTATTTCGCAGTTGCTTCTCTTTCACAGCAAAAGAATGAGGGAAGATAATGGAATTTTAAGTAGGTGATTCAGCAGCTGCATAATGCGCAGCTTGGAGGGACTCGCATTATTTGGATCAAAGACTTATGTATTGCACATCTTAATTGGACCAATTAAACTGGCAACACTGCATGATCCTTTGCCTCCAGAGCGTTGACTTAGTGCCTTTCTTCATGTGAGCATAAGGAGAAATTAGCAGCTTCTAACAATTTGCAAAGAGTCAGGTGCCCCAGATCAGGATGCACATCTACACACACTCGATAGCTTTGGAGTCCGCAGAGAACTCTCAGCCAAGAGGAGCACCCCAAAGCACTTTGAGCTCCTCATTCACACACACGATTATGTTGTCATCACCCACCCACCTTCCCGGCCTCACCCTCTGGTGCCCCATCTCGCCCTGGTTTAACAACCATCCTGCAAACGGATCTTTCAGTTCAGATGCAAAACAGACACAGGCAGCATTAAGCACAGGGACGGAATACCAGGAATGCCGTGCAAATGGCTCAGCACCTGTTCTGCAGGTGAGCTTCCAGCTCGCACCGCTGCATCGTCTGCTGGCACTCAGCCTTGAAAGGACACAGGACAAGCAGCTTGTCCAGCAGGTTCCGCACCAGGAGGCTGGACTTGTGGCACTGCTGGAAAGAGAGTTTTTTGCGATCCATGGGACAAAAGTTGTACTCCTGCATGAAGTTCTCAAGGCACTTGAAACAGTACGTGTGGCCGCACGGCGTGTCCATCGGTTGCAGCAGGGGCTGCAGGCAGATATGGCAGATGAGCTCGTCGTCCACTTCGTCCTGGAAGTTGTAGAGGTGGTTGTCGGGCAGCAGGTGGAACTGGCCACACTCGCTGCAGAGGTCGCCGGGCTGCGCCGCGGGCTCTCCTGCTGCCGGGTCGGCCATGGCACCGGCATCGGGCGCTGCCGGCCGCGGGCACCGTCACGCGTCCTGTAAAGGCAGAGGAGAAGGGTTTCCAGCCAAATGCCACCTCTTGATCTCATCAATTAAATATTAAACTGTGTTCCTGCCTTAAGCTCCCCCGGTATCCTCACCCTCTCCAGCCCGTCTTAGGGTGAGGATCATTCATTCCAGTGAATGATCAACCCAGGAGACAGTAAATGCTGGGACCTGATTCAGCAGAACATTTAAGCACATGGGTAACCCAAAGCCTAAATTATTTCACATGCAACTGTGCCTCTGACTAGATAAAACCCTGCCAGCCACAGGAACAAGAAAATCTGAAACATAAGCTGCATATTCTCGAGGGAGAACGAGCTAGAGAAGAGTGAGAAAATAACCAAGCTAGGCGTTTTTTAAACTGACACTTCTCCTGCGTAGCTTTCCAGATGATAGGGCACATTACTCATCTTGATATTCATGGTGCAGTATCTGCGCAGGGACTGCTGCTCATCTGAATTTTTGTCTTAATCTTTTTTGGTGGAAAAGAGAAGAAGGGGAAGAAATTTTAAAAGGAAACTTAAGAAAGTCTAAACTACATTTCCTCCCTCTTAAGCCCATCCCATCCCAAAAAGAAAACATTTGATTTTAACAAAGACTGCATTGTTCCCCATTCATCCATGTTCACCCACTGAAGCAAATTTCCTATTAAAACACTAAAGCTTTCTAAGAATAGAAAAGATGCAAAAACCAGTCCATAAGTTTGTCATAATGTGACACACAGGTGTGGATTTCAGCAGGTTTTTAAACAGCTTCTTACCATTAGTGAAAATAAGATAAGGTGCAAGTTAAGTTCTTTGCAGTTTCCTCTCTCTGATTTTAATGAAGACACCTCCATCCACACCCAACCCATCTTGCCTCTTACAATCAAACACAAAATTCACCTGAGTTTGCTAGCAGATTACTCTGCAAGCACAGACACTACCACAGGAAGGATTCTTTTCAACCTGGCAGTTATTTTAATGAAACAAGTGACTGGTACCGCAGGAAGCAGACACTTTTTTAAAAAAGAATACATATATATAAAACCTAGAGTCTTCAAACATGAAAAGAACTGCAGGAGCATGATGAAATGGAAAACGTTTGAAAGACAACATGGAAAATGTCTGAGAAAAGGGCTCTGTCTGGAACACGTAAAGCCCAAAGAGGAGCCAACACCGGCGCCTCACACGCGGCAGCAATTCCAGAGGAGGCGAGAACAATGAGACAGTGAGAAGAGCAAGAAAAAATTAGTCATGGGTTTCTAATAAAAATCATACATCATTCCACCTCAATTAATTGTCAAGCATAAATCAGCTATTTAATTAAAGGGATAACGTATCAAAAAAGTCATTTTATTTATTTTTTTAACCTAACAGAAACTTGCTCACTTCAAAAGAGTGAAACGTTACTGTCAAGGTTCCAGGTAGGTGCAGGGCACGAGCTGTTTGTTTCTCCTTGTGCTGCAGTGCCAGGAAACATCTTCCCTCAAGGAAAGCTCTTCCATGGGATACAGTCTTCGCTCTCCTGTTTGCATCTGCTCTTTAGCTCCTTCACCACTGACTTGGTGCTCCCCAAGAAAAGAAGGCTGCCAGAAGAATATTTTATAGAAGTGCAGACACTTAAAAACACTATTATTTGGTACCTACATGAGACTGATCTCTCCATTTTCTCTTTAAAATTGTCACCATTGGATATTAAGTTATTTTACAAGCTGATAGGGAACATTTTGACATTAGGCAATGTCTTAACATCACCTATTGATTCCAATCAATCAGTTCAGTGCCAGCACTGAGAGAAATGCCAGGCTTTCATGGCAAACCCTACCAATAAGACACTTGTGCTTCGGGTTGAAGTATTTGATGAAATTTTGGCAGGCGATTAAACGTAGCTTCTCCGTGAAAACAAACTCCAGAGCAGCGTTGCTGATAACTACTTTTATACGGGGCTTTTTCCACGTATTTACCAAATTCATTTTCCGCTTGCTGATAACTACTTTTATACAGGGCTTTTTCCACGTATTTACCAAATTCATTTTCCGCTCTGTGTTTAAAGGTCGCAGGAGATGAGTCTCACGTATGAGTCACTTCAGAGCTGGAGGAAGATAAAAACATCGCCGCAGCTCTCCCGCTCTCCCCTTCCCTGCAGCTCCGCGTCACCCTCCTCAGCTCTGCCCTTGGCGCACGCGGCGCGAGCTCGGGCGCGTTGCGGCGGTGCCAGGGCGGGCGAGCGCCGCCGCCCCACGCACGCCGCGGAGGCCCCGGGCGGCCGCAGGCCCCGACAGGCCGGCCCCGCGCGAGGAACCGCTCGCGCCGCGTTCGCGCGGCTCCCTCTGCCCAGGCCGGCGTCTGCGGGATCCCCGCGTCAGCACGCCAGGGACTGTCCCGGGAGACTGGCCTTAACGGAGGCCATCGGCAATGATGCTTCGCTCTAGCCCTAAGATTGTGCTTCTTAGATGAAAAAGGAGACACTCATCATTTGTGGTTCTGTCAAATCACAGCTCCTCATTCGAACCAAAGCTCCAAGCAACCCCCTTCATTCTTGCACTGCTCCTTCTGTTGTACCATTCCCCCTTCCCCTTCCTTCCAGCAACGCTGCTTTTAAGCCCGGTGCACATTCCCACTGCTGCCTTCCTGCACAGCATTCAGCTCCCTCCCTAGGCCTCACTCTGGCCACAGGACACTAATCTCAGATGAGGGTGCATTAGCTCCCGCACGTTCTGCATGTTGCAAGGAAGTCATCAAACAAGCATCCAGCTTTGTCCCGAGTTTCTACTTACTGACTACATGAAAAGTATAAAAGTCCGACATATATCATGAATACATATGTTGTGTTGCTGCCATTATGGACTCTGCTTATGCAGTATCATGCAATGAATACCCCTAGAGTGTGAATAATATTCGGGAAGCAACACCTTATTCCTGTATTCCTCAGTGAAGAAACAGCAGAAGATGTGTTATGTTTCCCAGGTTCTTACCCTGTGTGGCCCAGGACACAGATTCCTCAAGCATCACCTTCACTGCACGAAATAAATCATGTTTTGTTTTCAAACTACGATTTCAGCAACGCTGACTCAAAGAACAGATTTTATTTAAAAAAGGCAAGTCAGACTTATCGGGTTGTCTAATCTCCCTCCCTGCCACAGCCAGACTCTTCCCGACGCCCCCAGCGCGTTGCCCGGTCTTGTTGGCGCTCGGCTGGGGCAGAGCCGCGCGTGCCCCCTGCTCAGCGCGGGCAGCGGCCCCGGGGCGCCTGCCAAGGGCTGCACAGAAACCGAGCCGCGTGGCTCCGGCTCCAGAGCTCATCTCCAACCCACCACAGAGATCCCTGGCTCCTAAGCAGGGCCAAGGAATCGCTCCGACTGCTGAGCTGGTCAAAGCTATCTAACCCACGCAGGGGATGAGCGCAAGTTCCCAATGAGGCACCTCTTCCCGTGCCAAAGGAGCCGCGCTGTGATTCCCAGGTGCCCCCAGAGCAGCAGCCCTGCTTCCAGGCCCGCTGGAAGCCTCAGCATTCCCCACTTTAACTCCCACTCCTTGCTAAGGCATATAACTCATCAGTAATTCAGTCTGGAGCACCAACAGGCAAAATTAAGTCCAGGCCTGCCTATTTGATAAAAGTTGCTTTTAGTTATGAAAAATACTTATCTTAATGACATCTCTTTGAGGTGTGCTATCCCCACTTAAACACTGAGAACTGACATCAAGGCAGGCTAAACTATCAGCCCACAGAGGTATCAGCTCACGGGAATTCACGGGAATTAGGTACGATTGCAAATCTGACCTCAAGCAACTTTGCTAAGATCACAGAGAATATTCAGAAAAAAAAACAAAAACAAAAACACTCTGCAAGTCCAAAACGGTATCAAAAAAAGGAGGGAAAGAGAAGATAAAAAAAAAAAAAAAAATCAAAGCTGCAAATTAACTGATTTCCAAAACCACAAGTACGTTAAGTGAACCAGAGCACGTCCCGTATTGCAAAATCATGAAACAAGCAGTCGGTCTCCGATAAAGCAAGGACACAAAACAGAAGCACACAGAGTCCTCCTGACAGATCAGGATGCTTAGAAAAATGCTTTGTAGTGCTGTAGTTTAAAAAGCCTGTTAAATAGCTCTTAATACTAAAAAGTTGCCTGCATAGGAAGTTTTTGGAGATATTTTGGGGGTTTCTGTTCTTCAGCTTTAGGTTAAAGCTTAGGCACCCACAAGGATCAATGACAGTGAAACCCCCGACGTAAGAGCTGGTTTAGAGGCTGCCGAGTACCCGCAGCGCCTGCCCCACACACCCCTCCTGCTGTGCAAGAGCTTGCTGACATAATTATGCCAGTTATTATATTTATGAGTACAATTCCCTGAGAGACTGGAAATGCAACATTCCAGCTAAAGGCCAAAGCAATTAATTGAATTTCTTTGGGTGGACGAAAAGCCCAAATGTGTCTGATCAATTTAGGTAACTGAGGGTGCACGTAGGGAAGACAAGACGAGCAAGCTCCACATCTACCCAGTACTACAAAAATGAGCCATAAGGAGAAAAAAATAATTCTTCTTAGCAAAACATGCTTCAAAGAGCTTTCACTCAGTCCACTGTTTCTTATACCAGCTTTTCTTGAAGGGGGAGACTAGGTCTTTTTGCTGAATTTCAGCTTCTCTGATTGAGCACTTAAGAAAAGGGGCAGGTTTTATGTGAGCTACAGTTTGTTCTGGTGGAACCTTCCACTGCGCTGCTAGGGCATTTCCCAACCATGACTAAGCTGTCCTCACTTTACAGCACTGACATAGAAAACAGTGTCGAAACACCCGAGGATTTTGGTAAGCAGTGTTTAAATAGGCTGACTTTCAGCAACGCTACAGCCCCAAACCTCAGAAAGGGTTTGGATAGTAACAATTCATCATCCTCTTGCTTTTTCCTGATATTAGTAAAGCTTAGGTCAATTATATGAAAGTACAACATCAAAGCTTCTGTAAATAGCAAGTTTGTACAGCTAAGTGAGTGGCAATCCTTTCAATGAT